CCTCTCTCCCTGTCTGGAAGCAAGCCACAGAGGTGGGGGAGGAGCTGGTGCTGGCAAGACAATTGGTCTTTTTTTTTTTTAGTACTGGGATTTGAACTCAGTGCCTACATCTTGAGCCACTCCACCAGCCCCTTTTTGTGAAGGGTTTTTTTGGAGATAGGGTCTTGCGAACTATTTGCCTTGGGCTGGCTTTGAACCACAATTCCTGTGATCTCTGCCTCCTGAGTAGCTAGGATTAGAGGCATGAGCCACTGATGCTTAGCTGCAATTGGTCCTTTACAGTGCCGGGGATGGAACCCAGGGCCTCATCTGTATTAGGCAAGCCTCACCACTGAGCTGCACCCCATCTGCATGGTTTTTTAAGTTTTTGTAGTTCATACACAGTCTTAAGAGATGACATAGGATCCCTGTAATGCTTTGCACAGGTCTTCAGTGGTGACATTGTGCACAACTTCAGTACAAAACCCATAGCCAAGGTGCTGGCTTTGTCACCCGTCTTCCCTTCCTCCTGTTTACTCTGGCCTCATCTCAGCTGGGCTCTTCCAAACCTCTTGCACTTGTGGGCACAGCCACACACCTCTGGGGTAAGTGCCCAAGTGCAACGGCCCAAGCCTGTGGTGGTCATGATGGTTTGTTTTTGGTTTTTTTGTTTTTTTGTTTTTTTGTGGTACTGGGGTTTGAACTTAGGGGCCTACACCTTGAGCCACTCCACCAGCCCTTTCTGTGTGATGGATGTTTTCAGGATATGGTTTCGCAAGCTATTTGCCCAGCTGACTTTGAAGTGATTCCTCCTGCCTCCTGCCTCCTGAGTAGCTAGGATTATAGGTGTGAGCCACCGGGCCTGGCTCATGATGGGTTTCTAAGGAGTGGCTAGTGTTCCATATCCCCACCAGGCTCAGAGGAGGGTCTTTTCAGGGCCATGTCATCTCTTGAGTGAACATGCTTTGATTTGCTGCTTGCAGGAGAAAGTGCAGAAGGACTCACTGAGGCCAGAAGCAGCAAGGTACCTGGAGCGGCTGATCAAGCTGGGCCGGAGGAACGGGCTCCACCTCCCCAAGGAAACTCAGGAAGTGAGTCACCTGCCCCCACCCTTAGGAGTGCCCTGCACAGAGGGCCCCTGCTGCCCTGACCTTCCCTCCTACACTGCCTTTCCTCCCCCCAGAAAATCAAGAGCATCAAAAAAAAGCTGAGTCTCCTGTGCATCGACTTCAACAAGAACCTGAATGAGGACACAACATTCCTGCCATTCACGCGCGAGGAGCTGGGTATGCCACAGTGTGGCAGCCCTAAGGGTCCTGCCTAGAAGACCAGGTTGTAGAGGCCCTCAGGGGCTGCTGCCTCTTCCCTGTGACTTCTGTAGTCCAGGGTAGTGGCAGGTGCCTGACTGTCCTGGACAAGGAGCATCTCACATTGTGCACTCAAGGGCATGGTAGATGTTCCAAATCCTTCCTCAGGAAGCCTAGTGGCTGACCCAGGTCCTGCCTGACAGCAGGAACCCTGCTCTAGAGCTTGCACTACAGGTTCCACTGTCAGCCCACCACTAGTTAGCAGGTCCCCATAACCTTGCTCATCCCTGAGAGTGATTTTTTTTAGTCTCACAGAATCAAGGGAGAGGTGGAATCTGTCATATCTGGCCTGAGCCTTTTATCATGAGTCATTTTAGACATGCAGAAGTCTCAAGAACAGCGCAGTGTGAAACCCGTGCTCTTGGCTCACCTCTAGTGATCTGCTTTATCTTTCTTTTTTTTTTTTTTTCCTTTTGCTTTATCTTTCTTTTATCTTTTTATTTTTCTTTCCCTGGCATTACTGGAGTTTGAACTCGGGGCCTGGCACTTGCTAAACAGATTCTCTACCACTCGAGCCTTACCCCTAGCCCTTTTATGCCTGGACCAGCTGGGACTTTGATCCTCCTATTTATAGCTGGAATAACAGGCATGTACCACCACACTCAGCTGTTAGCTGAGATGGGGTTTTGCCTGGGTTGGCCTCAAACTACTATCCTCCTGGTCTCTGCCTCCCTTGTAACTGGGGTAACAGGCATGTGCCACCACGATGGAGATTCTTTTTGCTCAAGCAGTCAGGGCTCATACCTATGTGTGTGGCTTTTGGATTCCTGAGGCTCCTTTCTGGCAGGACAATTCATTGGCATGTTCTGACTTTTTTTTTTTTTTTTTTTTTTGCGGTACTGTAGCTTGAACTCGGCCTTCACCTTGAGCCACTCCACCAGCCCAATTTTTGAGATAGGGTCTCATGAATTATTTGCCCAGGCTGACTTTGAACTGAGATCCTCCTGATCTCTGCCTCCTGAGTAGCTGGGATTATAGGCGTGAGCCTCTGGCGCCTGGCTCTGTTCTGACTTTGGTGTCTTTGGATGCCTATGGAAACAGCTCTGAGCATCTAGATGGGGCTTGCTGTGGAGGGGCAGGTTAGAAAGCAGCCAGGGGCAGTGTTCAGGCCACAGTGGAGATGTAGAGGAAGTAGGCTGCCTGGAGACTAGCTCAGGGCGAGAGGCTGGCTTTGGGCCGTCTTTCAGGAAAAGCAAAGCTCAAAGCTATTGCTCTCGTTGGGGCATTGCTCCCTTGCCCTCTTCTCCCCCTTTTTCCTCTGTGTCCCCTCTGGTTGTAGACTTCAGCACTCTTAGCTTTTCTTTGGCTCTTCAGTGCTTCCCATTTTCAACTGTGGCATTTGAGGCTGCCTGGCATCTTCTTTTGGCAGCACTGAGGCTTGAACTCGGTCTGATGCTTGCTAGGCAGGCACTACCACTCGAGCCACTCTGCCAGCCCTTCCCTGGCATCTTTTGTGAGGGGAACCTGACAGCTGCCCCCATCACTTTCATCATTCCACATACCGGAGCTGGAGGCCCAGAGGTAGTCAGAGGGTTAGGGGATGGAGTGGAGTGGTGGGGCTGGGCCTGAGAACTGCTCCTGCTAGCTGTTTCTAGCCTGAACTCCAGCCAGGGTGCACCCCCTCTGCAGCCATGGGGCACATGGACAGGCTGCTCCTCTCACAGCCACCCAAATCTGAACCCACAGGAGGGCTCCCTGAGGACTTTCTGAACTCGCTGGAGAAGACAGAGGATGGCAAGTTGAAAGTCACCCTCAAGTACCCCCACTATTTCCCTCTCCTGAAGAAGTGCCATGTGCCTGAGACCAGGAGGAAAGTAGAGGAGGCCTTCAACTGCCGCTGCAAGGAGGTGAGGCACCACAGAACAGGCAGCTGGCTGGAGCCTCTCCCCTGCGGGGCAGGTCTGGCTCTGGGCCTGGTCGCCCCAGTCCATAGCAGGGCTTTGCCCCCTCCCCCTAGTGTCTTCTGTGGTAGCTTTTCTGAGCATTACTGAGTGCATGCTTGTTCCTTCCTTTCTTTGGCCACCCTTACCCACTTCAGCTGCAGGGTGGCCTTGCCACACTGGAGCTGGAGTTGCAGATGTGCTGGGGCTAGTGCTTCCACGTGGACGCTGCTGTGGCTACCCCTTTTGAGTCCTGACGGCCTCTGTGTGTGTCCCCTATTGAGCATATTGTACAGTGGATGCAGCAAGGGTGGCTGCTTGGACTCCTGTGCTAACACTACAGCCCACCCATGGGGTCAGCACAGAGCTCCTGGTGACAGGCTGAGCTGGCTGAGAGGCCATGTGCAGTTGGAGTGGGGAGAAGGGAACCCACAGGGGGGCTGATCTATGTCTGCCGTGCCAAATGCCTGCACAGAGGGGACCCCATTGTTCAGGAGCTAGGGTCAGGTCCCATTGGTTGCCGTCTTGCCTTCTGGACATAAGCCTTAAATCCATGTTACCCTCAGCCCACAGGCAGCTCTTGTGCTGTGGCTCCACCTTCCTGATGGCTCAGGAGGCCAGGGTACTGTGGCCCTTTGGAGCCCTACAGGAATCCTTGTTCCTGAATCCCATCTGGTTCCCAGACTTGGGTCCCAGTGGCAGTGAGGGATGTGCTGAGATCCAGGGCAAGGGTGACTCTGTGTGTGACTGGTAACGCAGGCAAGTGCTGCCACTCCCCTGCAGCTAGGCGGGTTTGGCTGGACCCTGTGGCTGGTTTGCCCACGCTGTGCTGTGTTGTGAACGAGCCCTAAGTGAATGAGAAGACCATATGGGTCCCCACAGTTGGCTGCTTATGTGTGGCAGGGGTGGACAGCGCCTTAGCCTGGGCCAGACCCTGGACAGACAGCATCCCCAAGCACAGTAGTAACACTCTTGAGGACGCCTCCCACCCCTGTGTCCCTTTTCTTTCGTGGCCCTTCCTGGCTCTGAGGGACTCTCACCCTTGGTGAGGCAGGATGAAGAGTGTGGGTCCAGGCTGTGGGAAGTGGGCAAGAAGGTCCAGGTGCCTGGACCCTTGGCTGACAGCGGGCTGTGGTTTGCAGGAAAACTGTGCCATCCTGAAGGAGCTGGTAGCGCTGCGGGCACAGAAGTCCAGCCTGCTGGGGTTCAGCACACACGCTGACTATGTCCTGGAAATGAACATGGCTAAGACCAGCCAGACCGTGGCTTCCTTCCTAGGTAACTGCCCAATCCATGGATTGGCCTCGGGAGGGCTGCTGGGACCTGTGCATGGGTGCTGCCTGTGAGCCTGTTCTTCCACCTGTGAACCAGCCTGACTTCTTCCTTCGGCCTGGAGAGGGCCTAATGAATGTCACGGTGAATCGTCTGCGTCTTGTGCACAGCTTGCCCCCTTCCAGCGCTGCTTGGGTGTGGCGTGGTGCTGGCCTCGGCATGTTGGGCCTCCCTATCGCCAGTGGCTCGCAGCTTCTCCTGAACGGGAGCTGGTGTGGCAGTGGCTGGTGCACAGAGTAGAGTGTCAGGAGCCCGCCTTCCTGCAGATGAGCTGGCCCAGAAGCTGAAGCCCCTCGGGGAGCAGGAGCGGGCTGTGATCCTGGAGCTGAAGAAGGCTGAGTGCGAGAAGCGGGGTCTGCCGTTCGATGGCTGCATCCACGCCTGGGACATGCGTTACTACATGAACCAGGTGGAGGAGACACGCTACCGCGTGGACCAGAACCTGCTCAAGGAATACTTCCCTATGCAGGTGGTCACCAGGGGACTCCTGGCCATCTACCAGGAGCTCCTCGGGCTCACCTTCGCCTTGGAGGAGGGCGCTGCTGTGTGGCACGAGGACGTGCGGCTGTACTCAGTGCGTGACGCCTCCTCAGGGGAGGAGATCGGCAAGTTCTACCTGGACCTCTACCCCAGGTGGGCCAGCAGGCCTCCCCAGTCACAGAGCCAGGGAAGTCTCACTTCCAGGGATAAACCATGGGACAGAGCACTGGGAACCTGACCCCATTGACAGCTGGCTGTCACTATCATACCCCTCTGTCCCCCAGCCACAGCTCTGTGGAGGCCAGGGGCCTGGAGCCATGGCCTGAGTGCTGGGGCAGCACCCCAGGGGACTCTGCCCAAGGAGTGAGGGCCATGGGCAGTGGCCGTGCTCCTGGTGAGGAGGAAGTCTGGGCTTTCAGTATGTCCAGCAGTCTCCATCACCTGATGGGGCAAGGGACCCTCCCTGAGCCAGTGTGGCAGACACTGGCCTGACCCCATGCTCCTCCCCAGGGAAGGGAAGTATGGACACGCAGCCTGCTTCGGCCTGCAGCCGGGCTGCCTGCGGCAAGATGGCAGCCGCCAGATAGCCATCGCGGCCATGGTGGCGAACTTCACGAAGCCCACACCAGGCACCCCGTCCCTGCTGCAGCACGACGAGGTGGAGACCTACTTCCACGAGTTCGGTCACGTCATGCACCAGCTCTGCTCCCAGGTGCAGCCCACGGTTGGGCTTTTTGGGCCTCGTCTCTTTGTACCCCTCCCCCCAACTGTGTCTGATCCTGCCACAGAGCTCTTGTATTGGCACTCTTGTATTAGTGTCCTGAGGCTGCCACAGTGCCACAAAGTAGTTGACTTCTGCATTCATGTTGTCACAGTCCTAGAGGCAGAAGTCCAAGCTGAAGGTGTCACAGGCTGGCTTCTTGTAGCCCTCTGGGTTGTAGCCCATCTTCTCCCTGTATCCTCATTCCTTATGCATGTTTTCCTCCTTTTTTTTGGTAGGTCTGGGGTTTGACTCAGGGCCTCACACTTGCTAGACAGGCGCTGTACAACTTAAGCCACACCCCTGCCCTTTTTGCTTTATTTTTTGAATCGAGTCCCTGAACTACATTCACCTATTTACACTTCCCGAATAGTTGGGATAACAGGTATGCACCACCATGCCCAGTTTTTTTGTTGAGATGGGGTCTCTTGAACTTTCTGCCTGGGCTGGCCTTGAACTGTGATCCTCCTGATCTCCACCTCTCAAGTAGATAGGATTATATTGCACCCTGCTGATGGTCATTCTTTCTCTCTCTCTCTCTCTCTTCTCTTCTCTTTACTCTCATTCGCTTCTTCCTTCTCCTCCTTTCCTCTTCCTCTTCTCTCTTTTTTTGGTGGGACTGGGGTTTGAACTCAGCTTCACATTTGCAAAGCAGGCACTCTACTATTTGAACCAAACCTCCAATCCAGTTTGCTCTGGTTATTTTGGAGATGGGGATTTCATGAACTACTTGCCCAGACTGGCCTTGATCCTTGATCCTCAAGTAGCTAGGATTACAGTCATGAGCTATGGCACCCTGCTGATGCCTCTTATAAGGACACCAGGCAAGCAGATTGGACCTTACTTTCTTGTTGAAAGACCCTGTCTGCCAACACAGTCATAATCTGAAGTGCCAGGGGGAGGATCTGAATATGTGACTTTTGGAGACAACAGCCAGCCTATCAGTCTCTCAGAGATGGGGGTGATGGCATCATTTCCCTGCAGTGTGCTCAGAGCAGAGACCTCAGTCCCACAAGCGCTGAGTGAGCACCACGTCCACAGGACCCAGGGAGAGCCAGGGTGGAGGCCAGAGTGAGGCCCTGGGACCCCCACTGGATCACGTGAATGCAGAACCCAGAGAGGTGGGTGCTGACCCTCTGGGCAGACCTGAGACTCAGGAAGTCCATAGTGGCTGCCCTTAATAGGCCTTCAGTGGTCATGGTGGGAGCCACCAGGATTTCTGGGCTCCCAGCCTCCTGTCTGTGCCCTGGGCCCCAGTTGCACCAGTGAATGCCCCATCTCTGTCTTGCACACACATGGGACACCATTGCTCCTGGTAGCAGGAATATGTGGGCACTGGGTGCTGTTGATTTTAACCACTTCACCAAGTTGTGCAGCCCTCAGTGCAGTCCATCCTCAGAACATTCCATCACCCCAAGGGAAGCCCCATCCCTGTGAGCAGTCACCCCATGCCCTCCCCAGTCCTTGGCCCCAGAAATCCATTTCCTGTCTCTGGATTTGCCTGTTCTGGACATTTTCTATCAATGGAGTCACACTGTATGCCCTTGTGTGTCTGCTTCTCACTGAGCACTGTGTCCTCAAGGTCTCTACATTGTAGCTTGGATCAGAGCCTCATTACTGTTCATGGCTGACTAATAGTCTCCTGTAGGGATAATACCTTGACAAGCACAAGTTTTCAACTTGGATGAAGTCCTATCCATAGTGTTAATCTTATTTGTGCTGCTTTGCATCTGGTCAAGGACATTGTTTCACCTGCCACACTGGTTCCCCTCTCTGTGGGATGTAGAGCTTTCTAGACATTAGTTCTGGACAGGGGAGAGGAGTGTGGGTGGCTAGCAGGGCAGGTGTGCATGGCTGCCATCTTCAGGTGTGCCCCACATTGGGACAGGCTGACCAGGGATTTCATCTGCATCAGCCAGGCTGCTGAGGCTGCGAGGAGGGAGGGCTACATCCAGCCTGTCACCTGCTGGCCTGTGAGGCCAGGCCATTCCTGAGGCACTCTGCCCACTGCCACAGGCGGAGTTTGCCATGTTCAGCGGGACCCATGTGGAGCGTGACTTTGTGGAGGCGCCGTCACAGATGCTAGAGAACTGGGTGTGGGAGAAGGAGCCGCTGCTGCGTATGTCCCAGCACTACCGCACCGGCAGTGCCGTCCCCCAGGAACTCCTGGACAAGCTCATCCAGTCACGGCAAGCCAACACAGGTGCGGCCTCCACCCCCACACCTGCCCCGTCCCCTGCCAGGTCCTGGTACACTAACCTAACCCAGCCTCTGGTGTCCATCCACCTAGGTCTCTTCAACCTGCGCCAGATCGTCCTCGCTAAGGTGGACCAGGCCCTGCACACACAGATAGGAGCAGACCCCGCTGAGGAGTACGCCCGGCTCTGCCAGGAGATCCTCGGGGTCCCAGCCACACCAGGTAGCTGCTCACAAGCTGGGTCCACCAGAAATGCGGATTCACAGCCACTCTGGATCATAAGGGACCCCGCAGCATGTGAAGGGAGTGAACTGAGTGGCCCACAGGCTCTGCACCAGCCCCCACTCTAGCTGCAGCTCCTTGCAGAGACTCCCTCTACAGGAGCCAGGCTCACCGGGTCCCTGGCCTTGTGCTGCCTTCACGCTTAGGCCTGTTACTCTGGCTCTGCAGTGTGGCTAATGCACCAGTGCTGGTGATCCATGTCCTTGTGTCACCTGAGGCTCTGAGTGCAGGCTCCTCCCCTACAGTGCCTGGGCTGCTTGGGCCCAGTTCCCAGGGTCTCTCTGTGGTGCAGCCAATACCTGCCACGGGGAACCTTTCCTGGCCCAGAGGTCTGCTTCCCATGTCAGGGATGTTTGTGGTTGTCACAACCAGCATGGTTTGGGTGGACTGGGGATACTGCTCTGTATCCTTCAGAGCTCAGGATGCCTGACCCACACACCCCCTGGCCCACGCTCACCATCAGACTTGCACTTGCTGCCATGTCCAAGTGGGGCTTGCTGGGTGTCCTCTGTCCTGGGAGAAGCACCGAGGCTGGCAGTGAGCTGTACTCTAAGCTTCACTGTGTATCTGTCCAGGGACCAACATGCCGGCAACCTTTGGCCACCTGGCGGGAGGCTACGATGCCCAGTACTATGGCTACCTGTGGAGTGAGGTGTACTCCATGGACATGTTCCACACACGCTTCAAGCAGGAGGGGGTCCTGAACCGCAAGGTGAGGGATGATAGGGACAGCTGGGAGGGTGTCCTGGACGGAGGACTCCTGGGAAGGATCTTGGCTATACCAGTCATGTGTCCTGCCACCCAGGACCAGGAATAAGTCCTGGCGAGTCCTTGGCCACCAACTCCCAGGTACCACAGCCAACTAGGGGAGGGCAGGACTGGAGCCTGAACCCTTGGCCACTGTGTCCCTGGTAGAGTAAGCCTAGCAGTCTTAGCTCAGGCTCCACGCACCTGGTCCTTCTTTCTACTTTTGACCCCATTAAGGATTTCAGACTGCAGTGTAGGACACCAGTTCTTCCAGTCCCTGCGTATGCAGCAGGGTGCACCCTCAGAGTGAGTCTGCAGTGTCTCTTCATGGTGCCGAAGCCCACATGACACCCACAGGCCTCCCCCTGGAGTATGGTGGGGGTGAACAGAGACCCAGGCTGTCTGCCCTGGTGCCTCCTTTTGCACCCTCCTGGCCTTAGTCCTCTGGGTTCTGTTCTGCAGGTCGGCATGGATTACAGGACCAGCATCCTCAGGCCTGGTGGCTCCGAGGATGCCAGTGCCATGCTGAAGCTGTTCCTGGGCCGAGACCCTAAGCAGGATGCCTTCCTCCTGAGCAAAGGGCTGCAGGTGGAGGGCAGCGAGCCAGCCTCCTGCTGATGGCACATACAGAGCCTCACACCTAGCCCATGTCCCTGCCGCCCTGTGCCTGTCCTAGCCCCGGATGGTGGCTGCCCATGGCGCTCCTGGGGCCTGGCAGGCAGGGTGAGCACGGGGCAGCTTCTCATCATTGTCACATCCAGACTCTGGATCCCCTGTAGTCAGGGACCAGCCCGGGCTAGAAAGCCTGTCCTCCAGGTGTCTGGAGAGCCCTCGTGCCCAGGTGGGCATTGTCTTTGTTGCACTAACACTTCCCTCCCCGGGTGGCTCCTGGTCCTGCAAGATGGCTCTTCTGTGAGTGGCAGCCATTAAACACTTGAAGCAGAAGGGGCTCCCTGGCCTGATCTTTTTGCCTCGCCCTCTTGCTTGTGGGATGGTGGGACCCACCTGGGTTCCATTAGAGGCTGTGGGAGCACCCTTGGCTCTGTCCTGCTTAGCCCTCTGGTTATGACGGGGACCTGGGACAGCTGAGCTGTTGGAGGGGGTCAACCCATGGCTAGGAAGCATGGAAGGGCCCTGGTTCTGTCCGACCAGGCTGCAATGCTGGGACTACATTCTCAGGGACTTCTGCTTCCTGCCAACATCTTGCCTAGTATAATTCTGGAAAGTTCCTTCCCTGCTGCAGTCAGCACTGTCCCAGCCACTGTGGAACCGAGCTCAGCTCTTAGAGAACTGGAAGCCCAGGTAGCCCCTGGGTGCTTGAACGGCCAACAGAGCAGCAGCCTCCTGGGATGCGGGCCTGTACTGCCAGCAGCCACCTCCCTCCTGCCCACAAAAAGGCTGCCCCCTAAGCACCCGAGGAACGTCGTGGCCAGAGTGTGCTGCCTTCTGAGTAGTCACCAGTGGCCATGCCTGCCTCATGGCGTCCACGGCTGTTGGACAGCAAAGTTCTGACCGGGGCTCCCAGTGGTGCTGCAGGACAGGATGTGCAGGATGTGCGTGTGTTCTTCAGTGGCTGTGAGCTTCTCAGGAGCTGCCTCCCTCAGCCCTCCATGAGGGGACAGGCAGTGGGCCCTTCGAGGCCTGAGCAGGTTGTCAGACCCCTGGACTCCGCTCCAGGTGGATGGGACTTCTGCCGTCCCTTTCATGCCATTCTCTAGCCATGGCCAGCCGTGGACGTGGGCTGTGAGGTCCGCCTCCCGCCCCACCTGGCGCACCTAGCCCAGCTTCCTGCTCCCCTTCATGTGACTTTAAAGCCTTGGGCCCTGAGGGAGCTGGCAGCCATGTGGGTGGAACTGATACTGGGCCCTCGGCAGCTGTTGCTTGGGCTTAAAATACCTGGATTGCCTCTGGCTGCTTACCACAGGCTGCATTCTTACCCACCCCATACATACCTCAGCCTTGCCTGAGCCTGGTCTGTTGTGAATGGGAAGATATGCAGTGAGAGAGGGAGAGAAAAAAAACAAAACCCTGGGGCTCAAGAAAAAAAGAAAACCCAAAGGGAGCCCACCGAGACCTGTGGGGAGCCTCAGCCTGGTGAGGGGTGCTCCCTGCCTCCCACCCCCAGGTGGGCTCCCCCTTGGCCTTGCACAGATCCAGACATGCCCTGGGGCAGCTGCCGGTGAGCTGGGCTCAGGCCGCAGGCAAATGGGCACCTGTGTGCAGGCCCCTGTCCACCCTGTCTTCACATAAGTCGCCAGCCTTTGCCTCTGAGCCTTAGTACTTACAGAGGAGCCCTGGTAGTGTCTCCCACCCCCAAATCTGCAGCCTGGGCTGCCTTCTTGGATTGGGGTGCTGAAGTCATGGAGCCAGAGCATTTGGGGGGCTGGGAGTGGGCATTGGCTCTGAGAGGAGGCAAAGCTCAGTGGCCTGCTGCATCTGCTGTCCCACATGTGCCAACCCTGCCCACACCCAGCTTGCTGTCCAGGAGTGACTCTGCCTCTGTCAGAGAACAGAGGTCAGCCCTGGGCAAAGTGAGCCAAAATAAACCCTCGATACTTGTCATAGTGCCTTATAAAAATGACCCCAAGGAGCCACTGTGTTGCTTAGTGGTGAGTGCTTGCAAGGGCCGATCAGAGGCCACCAGCCTGAGACAGGACCATGCTTGCCCCCACCTGCTCCCTTCATCTCCTTACTCCATTTCTTAGGGCCTCTTCACCACAGAACCCAGTATGTACTTCCCCGTGCCCGCACCTGTTGCGAACAGCCGCCCACCCCGCCCTGTGTGGGGGGCCCAGAGCACCACCTAAGCCACATCTGCCGAATCCTGGATTCTGAGCCACCCCAACCAACAGTCCCCAATGAGTACTTGTCAGTGGCTGCACAACTAGCCGTGTCCAGCAGGTGGCAGGGCCTCACTGCATCTCACACTCAAGGCCTCTGCCCTAGAGAATGCTCTGGAAGGAACCTGGATGGGAGCCACTGTAGGACGCCTGGCAGATGTCTTTGTGTTCTAGAGCATTCTGAAGAAAATGCACTGAGTCTAGTATCACAGCAAAAGGAAGCAGGTGAAATCAACTAATAATTTATTTCACTCAATGTGGCCAAAATACCCTCCCAAAGTGTCAGAAGCTATGATGATACATCCCTTTTTTCCAGCAAAGTCCGTGGAATCCAGTAGCTACTTTCTAACCCAGCGGGTCTCGGTTTGGACTTAGTATATTTAAAGACTCCATAGCCACATGTGGGTGGCGGCTACTGTGTTGAACGACATGTGGCAACACCAAGAGATTGCAATGGAAACACTGAGGTAAGTGTTTTTCTTTTTTTTCCTGGTTTGCTTTGTTTTTTTGAGACAGGATCTGTAGCCCAGACTAGCCTGGAACTCAAGCTCCTCCTGCCTCAGCCTCCCAACTGCTGGAATTACAGGCGTGAACCACACGCCTGGCTATAGCACTGGGTTTGAATGGTGTCTACTGGAGCATGGAGGAAAATCTCTGTGGCTAGTGTTGAGCTGTCTTTGAGCCCTGCTTCCCCAATGTGACAGGTCTGAGACAGTACCTGCTTCACCCTCAGATGACACCTTTTTTAATATGACCCTTGTGATGGAAGATAGGCAGGATGAATTCGTGTCATGGATGATAACAATGAGTGGATGAGCTATAACTCAAGAGACCATGACTTCCCGGGTTTGGGTCAGTAGGCTCACCTATGTGCTTACCACTGAGCTGCTCGAGAGGTATTTGAAGAAACAGGGAAAAGAGCCATTTCACAAATAATAAAGGACTAAATGACAGAATTAAAAAACAGATGTAAAGGCTAAAGTAACATCAAGATCCCAAAACGTGTTGGAGTTTAGTGCTTTCCCTTTTTTTTTCTTGGTGGGACTGGGATTTGAACTTAGGACCTTGAGCATGTAAAGTAGGCATTCTACCACTTCAGCCACTCCTCCAGCCCATGTTGCTCTGGTTATTTTGGAGATGAGGGTCCCAAGAACTATTTTTCTGGGCTGGCCTCGAACCATGTTCCTCCCAATCTCAGCCTCCCAAGTAGCTAGGATTACAGTGTGAGCGATCATCACCTGGCTAGTGGTTTCCCTTAATCTCTCTCTCCCTCTCTTTCTCTCCTCCCTCTCTCTTGAGACAGGGTCTCTCTGAGTAGCCCAGGTTGGCCCCAAACTGGTGACCCTCCTGCCTCCCCCTCCTGGCAGCTGGGACCACAGGCCTGCCCCAAGGACAGACTTTTTTAACTGGGTAAAGTTAATGCATTCTTTTGCTCAACATTGCTGTGCAAGAACAGTATGATCTATTGGCCAAATGTTTGTCATTTTCTCTGATGCTCACATTTTCTCGAGCCTGCTTTATTTGTACTTTTATTGTTGCTTTGACAGCACTGGAGTTTGAGCTCAGGGTCTCTCACTTGCTAGGCACTCTCTACCACTTGTGCCACTCTGCCAGTCCCCAGCAGGCTTTGTTCTTTCTCTTTTGTGGAGAGTTCCTATCTGGCCTTAGCAAGATAACCTAGCACTTGAGGGCAAAATGCAGCTCAGAAGCCCTGAATTGGGGACCAATAGTTTTGGGCAAGACAGTGGAAAGAGCCACAGTGATCACAACTCCAAATGTGGTCGGCTGCAGGACGCAGGTGGTTGTGCTGAGCTAACCAATGAAGAGCAAGGAACAGAAAACTGAAGGAACAGAGAAAGTAGAAATAGGTTTCTCACCTATTTTCCAGGGCAACCCATGAAACTGGGTACCTCCGCGAGCCCATCTGACACTGGAGGTACGGATCAGCCACGAGTCAGCTCTGAAACACCTCTGAAGCTGACTGCAAGGCCGTAGGTACTGAGTCGGAACCCAAGGACGAGCTCTGCAAACCTCAGAGCTAGGAAGGGGGAAGCAGGAGCAGCAGGTGGAATTCCCAAGCCTGCGGAGACACCGCCCATCCTGAGAGGGGGCGCTGTGATCCAGATCTCCCCGGCGCTGAGAAAAGGCGTTGCGCCCCGGGCCTGCTGGGAATTGTAGTTCACGGCGCGCGTGCGCAGCGCACACTCCCTGCGCGCGTCTGGGGGCGTCCAGCATCTGCAGGGCTGCGGTGGGGATGAGGGCCCCGGGTGGTACGTGACCGCGCGCTCATGATCACCTGCACCTGCATCTGGTCCCGCACCGAGGGACTCCCCGCAAGGAGTCAGCCTGTCCTGTCTCTGCCGGCCCGGGTGTGGGGAGGTCAGTGGGGCGGGGCCTGGGAGGTCCGGTGTGGCTTCACCTGTCACCTGCAAGAGGTGACATGGGGAGTCTGAAGACAGCTCGGTCAGGCCACTGGCTCCCCGAATGGCCAGGTCGGACTTTCCCTGTGGAACAGCCAATGACAAGGGACACTGAGCAAACCCTTAGTACGAGTGTGGAGACCTAGGAATGCGCAAGGGACAAACCACGGCTCTTTTATCTTTTTTTTTTTTTTTCTTTGCACTGCAGTACTGGGGCTTGAACTCAGGGCCTCCACCTTGGACACTCCACCAGCCCTTTTTTGTGAAGGGTTTTTTCGAGATAAGGGCTCCAGACTATTTGCTGGGGCTGGCTTCGAACTGTGATGCTCCTGATCTCTGCCTCCTGAGCGGCTCTTTATCTTAAAGGCACGGAGGGCTGCGATGCCGGACCACAGGAT